CTCTCTCTCTCTCTCTCTCTCTGTGTGTGTGTGTGTGTGCAAGTCTGGAGAAGAAAGTTTATTTGAGCACCATGGGAATCAAGTTCAATCAACACCACAAAATGCTGAATCTTCGTGACAGATGTGAGGTTACCTGGTTGAGTCCCTCACGTATTTGGGATGGAACGGACCAAGGAGTAGTGTGGGAAGGGTTGTTGGGAGGGCGACGCGTGTGGTGAGGGTAGTGCCGTTGCGTGCGTGTGTGTTTGATGTTGTGTCATGTGTTGTGTGGAGGAAAGTGAGTGTGACTGCTCTACATAGACTTCGCATCAAGTAGGCAGTACTACCGTCTTCTCCCGAATAGAACGTACGGTCATTATGGCCGCATTTGGCGCACGTTTCTGTCCAGATGCAGCGAAAATGACCATACGTTCTATTCGGGGGAAGAAGGTAGGCAGCTCATACTCAGCTCTGGCGCTCCTGTAACAATCCATCACTTTGCCCCGATGCCCAGTACAAAAGCATGACAATCTTCTCCCTTTGCCCCACATTTTCCTCCTGCCCAGCTCCCAAGAAGGTATAATGTGAGGCATGACACATCTCTTCCTGTGCTTGTCTTTGCAGCCTTCAGATGGGCTTGACTTGAACCTCCTTGCAGGTTTCAGAAGGACAGAGAGAGTAGAAAGCAGGGTGCACGCTGACAACAACGAGGTTGATGGCCGATCAATCACCAGAACGCCTGCAGCTCCGACGTCAGGAGAAGTCGGCAGGCAGGACAGACTGATGAAAGAGGGGGCTGCAACTGCTCTCGACAGCTCTGAGGGTGGCGTTTTACCCCTAGCAAGTGCAGACATCGGTCACACTCGGAGCGGACATGAAGAAGCATCCAGTCCCGCCGCTGACCCTAGCAAACAGGGAAAAGCAGTTATAGATGAGAAGCAGAAGACAGGAAATTCCCAGCAATCTTCCGCAAGTACGCACGAGCATCCGTCGGAGGAGTCGGAGCATGGCATTGCGGAAGCCGCGGGGACATTCGATGAGCAGCAAAGGAGTGCGGCAGTCGGTGAAGTGCTAGCAGCTCAAGAAGAGGATGGGGAGCGAGAGAGCAGAAGTGAAGCGGGAGTCACGAAGGTCGGGAGAGCAGAAGTGAGAGGAGAGGGAGAGAGAGGTGGTGCATGGATACAGTGCCAGGGAGTCACCAAGTCAGGGTCAAAGTGTAAGCGACGGTTGACCGAAGAGGAAGTCAACGCACAAGGGGGAGTAGTGAAATGCTGGCAGCACCGATGATGAACCTGCACGCTCGACACTGGTTCCGAGTCTTCTGACGTCATGGGAGAATTGTGAGAGAGAGGAATGGATAGAGACCGGATGCAGCGACATGTGGAAGATCGTCCAAGGAAGATGACCTGCTGTGTCTGAAATGTAAGAGAAGAAGTTGATCGACGAACCCATGCCAGGCAATGGAAACAGGCCATAGGAACAGAGAGAGAATGCTCACTACATGCCTCATGGGGATGCCTTCGTAAAGTTTTAAGCTTCCGAAGTGGAAACCCTCCCTAAGTGGAGATGGAAACTCTCGTCATGTGTTTCGGGAAAAAAAAATCAAAAAATGATAATCGTATTAAGGTATTAAACGACCGCTACCTTTCACAGGCAAACTCGAAACCTCCGCAGAATGCGGTGCAACCTTATACCGCATTCTTCGGAGGCCAGGCACCACCGGACCAGACCAAAATGGCTGGCGGCGCCAGCCAAAATGAAGGGAAAAGAAAGAAGTCGCTCTGGCACTTTGGCAAAGCTTGGCGCGCAGTTCTTTTCCACCTTGGCAAAAAAAGGCGCGGAGGTAGTGGCGGTTTAACATGCCCGGAAAAGAAATGAAAATAAAAGACGATTGCTTCATGAGTAGGGATTCTAGGGAATGCTACAAATTCCATTCCATGCTATCTTGCTGACTCAGCCATTCTATCTTGCTGACTCAGCCATTCAGGCATCAGCCCACGGACGGAGCGCAGGACGCCAGAGGGATGGCTTCCTCCTCGTGCTGGACAACAGTTCTTCGTTGTACGGAATTATGGTGCGGAAAGTAGCAGCAAAAGATGATGATGATGATGAGGAGCAACAGTTAGAATGAGTAGGAGGAGCAGGAGGCGGCAAAGAATAGTAGTACAAGGAGCGGAAGACAAAGGAGGAGACAGCAGAGGAATAGCATGATGGTAGTAGTAGTAGTAGTAGTAGTAGTAGTAGTAGTAGGTGGAGGAGGAGGAGGAGGAGGAGGAGGAGGAGTGGTAGTAGTAGGAGGAGGAGTGGTAGTTAACATGATGGAATGAAGAATGTCAGCAGCAGGAGGAGGAGGAGGAGGAGAAAAGGAGGGACTGGATTTCTCATCCATCATCATTGGTTATTTCAGTTTTGTCGAGTACTCGTGGAAAGGGTTGATTTGTCAGAATGCAGAGTGCTTTTCTGCTCGACAGGAACATGGGGATCAGAGTCTGCGCAGTCTGGCTACTGTTGATTGGCTATTGTTGATGAATGAATGAGAAGGTTTGCTCACCATCAATTGTCAGTTTGCTGTGTGCATACTAGTGGCTCAGAAGGCATACTCACACTATGACTTTTCATACTGAATGTCGTCGTTATGGTGGACTTGGATTGGCCGTGCCATCAGGATTGGGACCGGGAGGTGACCATAGGGATCCCTATTCGGAAGGCCCAGTGTGGGTAAAGCCCCAAGAGAGGAAGCCTTGCTTCTGTTGATCCCACATCAGGGATGCTGCTGCTAATGTTTCTGGCGCTACCGATGATGATGATGATGATGATGATGAAGAAGATGATGATGAAGATGATGATGATGATGAAGATGGTGAAGATGGGAAGATGAAGTATAAGTGCCTATTCACCCTTTTTTGGGGCGCCAGATATTCAAGACTTCCTAGTGCAGGTTCATCTATGAATCACATATGCATCATACCCACACCATACCAAACAGAACACCAAACTTTCATCCATACCCACATTCCTCGAAAGTTTGGAACTAGGAGGGCTTAGGGGTTGACCCTTCAGAAGGAGGAGGACAGATATGGGACACTTAAACCGCTTGACATCAACGCTCCAAGAACGAGCAGACCCGACCAGACCCGACCAGACCCGACCAGACCACAGGGGTCTGTGCTTGGGTTTCAAAAGGGCTTAGGGGAGGGGGTTTCAAAAGCCTTGGGAAGACGGTGGATACAGCTGCCACCCTTGACGTTAATCAACGCTCCAAAAAGGAGCAGGGGCGGCGTGTGCAGTTAAAGGTGCTGCAGTCACAGTCTACATAACGTGACGGTTCTGCAGTGAGCTGAGGTAATCAAGGGTTTAGGGGTTAAGATTCCAAAGGGAGGAGGATGAATGCGGCCACCCTCGACATCGGCCAACATAAAATGGATTAGGAGAGGAGTGGCTTGCGTCTCAGTGGAAGTAGTGGCTGTCTGTAGAGAGACTGAAGAGGTTAATATCCCCGCCGCATGCTCCAACTGATCCCTGTTTTTTTCTCAATGTTCAATTGCATAGAGGGACGCTGGGCCCGTTTCCCAGCAGGTGGAGATCCCCACCAATAGATGGAGCCTTCCCCGAGGAAGGAGGCTTGACGTGTCTGCTCCTACCAGCGCTTCAAGCTAATCCCCGGGTTTCATCCACCTCGCTTCCACCTTATCTTTAAGATTGATTCTCAGGCGAAGCGTTCTGTAGGTCGACTTAACTGTCTGCGTGTGACCTAGTGTAAGAATGTCTCTTTCCCCTTGAAAGTTGAAACAGACCCCACCTCCAAGTGGCAGGGTCTATCGACAAGTCAGAAATTGGTGTGTCGGGTTTAAAGGCCATCCATCTTGCCTTCTCTCTCAATACCCTTATCCCGATACTTGGTCTCTCTTTTTTTTTTTCTTTTTTCTTTTTTGGTCTCTCTTAATCCGTCTGGTGCGCTTCAATTTCCTTGGTGTCACTGTACCCTCCACCCTTAAATCAAAGATGTCCAAGAATATTGTTTCCTCATCGCAGACCTCTATGATATTCCCTACTATCTCAGGCTGATCCCTAATAGCTACCCCATCACTGGAGTGTAATTTGGGACCCTTCTACCGGGAATCTACCCACTCCAGGGGAATTATTTTAATTATCTTTTCCGATGCCTCATTTTGATGATGGTAGTAACAAAGCCGTATAATTCCACTGGGGAGATACAGTCCGTATAATTCTGATCTCATATATATCCTTAAACAATGGTTGTCGGCACACCTCCTCCCATCCATTTGGAGAATTTTGGACCTATTTTATTATTATCTGGTAATGGCAATTTCCTCCAAGTCTTAAGCAGAGTGATCCAAAAGGGATTCTTACTTAGATCTATTCTGACCGCTCGTCTACCAGTCGACTCCTGTGGCTGAGGATACTTAAAGGTCGCAGTACACGGCCCCAGCCTTGCAGCAAGTTTTTGTCGCCACAAGCAGAACTCGGAGGCGCCGTGCGGCCCTCTCTGCCGTTGAAAAAGAAAACCGGCGGCCTCCGAAGCGGTGCGGGTTTCATGCTGACACCCGCGGGCCTATGTGTGGTGTACTGGTGCTTTAAAGGTCGCTCTGGGTAGCTTTTTTCGTACATCAAAGGGTCCACATTATCTAGAGTGACCGGGCACCAGGGCCAGTCTCCTTTTTTTTTTTTTTTTTTTAAGACATTTACGGACTATATTAGCCAGGGTGATACGAGCAACCCTTGCTCATATAGCTGATTTGTTCACCGACTAACCTGCTCCAGGGTATTTTTACTATTTTAGGATTAAATAGAAGATGTTCAATCCATTGTAGGGATAGGGCCATAGCCCGTTTGGAGGGGTCAATAATGCCCAGACCCCCCCCTTGGACTTTGGCTGAATCATGGACAGTCATGCTACTCTACTAATCAGATTCTCATATTCATGATTCCCTCTCCACAGGCTGGGTGGTATTCTTTGTAGCATGGCGGTGCAGACCTGCACTACTGGCCCTTGGCTTTTGTCAGAAGTGCCATTCCTACTTCCTCTACTAGCACCGCTGGCCAGAACTGTTGGTGAGTGGTTCTCAGCCCAGGGGCACGTTTTCCATTTCTTATTTACACCAGTTGCAGGGATCCACACTGTGCATTGCTTTGCCTGTGAGTTCCTCGAACAGCTTTGTTGTTGCCGAAATGAGCGCCCTTGCTACCTGCCTCCGGTCAATGTTTTCCACTTTATCATATTTATTTACTGCCTGTTTTTTTCTTTTTTTTTTTAACAAAAATGAGCTACCGGGGCCATTACCCGGCTTCGGCTAAGAACAATTGAAGAAAAGGGACAACTCAGAAACATTCATGGTCCACTACTCAGACTCTACCAAGTCACTAGAATACGTGGGTCAACAAGCCTCCCAACCACGAATCAGATAGGTGAAACCTATTCAATCCACCTACGACCACCATCAGCATGGCTGTTTTCAGCACGAACCGAAGCTCTTCCAGGCCTCATGCTCCCATCAGGTTAGGTTACAGAGTTGCACCACCTTGCTCCAGCACCGGCCAGCATTGCTCCAGTTACGACCCCCGATGACCACTGAGACTGCCCCCGCAAACAGCCCCCCAGATCTCTCTACCAGGCCTCACGCCCCCACTAAGCTAGGTCACAGAGTTGCGCCACCTGGCTCCGCCTCCGGCCAGCATTGCTCCAGCATCGGTCTTCGAGGGCCACCAAATTTTCGACCACCCTTCGCAGGATCACAGATGACTTGCCAGATAGCACCTATTCCTACAACCTCCGCGAGAGGCAAACCAAACGGAAAGAAATACTAAACTGGATGTTAGAATTCTTCGAGAGAGATCGCCCCTCCCTCTCCCTACCCCTCCCCCCTCAGCCCTACACTGCCTCCGCCGAGGCGAGTCACCCACTCTCCCTCAGCCCCAATATAGGACCAACCCTCTACCCCGATTTCCCCAGGAACACGCAGTTCCCACCTAAAGCATGCCCCGCCGCCCCTTGCCCATTTCTGCCTCCGCTGGGACTGATGTTGACCCACACACCAGCCCCTGCCCCTGAATAGGGCAACTGCCTACTCCGCCCCTACCCTCTTTGAAAGTGTCGATCGCAATTTGGAAATGCAGGGCCTCTTCAAAAATATGCAATAACCCCCGAAAACACCCTACATCTTTAAGAACAACCCACTGAAGAAAGCGCAGGGCGGCAGTAAGACTATTACAATTATTCCCCTGACCCTAGCGCCAATCAACGTTTTTTTTTTTCTTTTTTTCTTTTTTTTGGCCAATCAACGTTTTGGCAGCTCCCACCATGTGCACGTATCACAAATTTAAGAGAAGCAAAAACTAATTGTCGAAGTTTTCGGGTTCCAAGATTAGAAAATCATGATAGAACTTCACTTGGGACTTTTAGAAATTATACTAGTAGTCGAGGATACGAAATTCTAGAATAGATCCCTACGAATTGTGCTGGCGATTCAGAATGGATAATATCTGTTTGTGTGTATGTGTGCACATGTAGATGAGAATACTTTGCTTGGAACTTTTAGAAATTATAGTCGAAATGCACGGATATGTGTACATGTGTGTACATGTAGATGAGAGTTTGGCTGATCAGAAAACAGAGGATAAGATTGTGAGTTTATTTTTCCAAATTTGAGAAGCTGAATTTATAACTGTGTAAGCACTAGATTAGAGCAAGAATATAGGACATTAGAACATACAAAATTAAAATCAGCGAAATCAATTTGAAAAAGCAGCCGACGTGAAGAGCGCCACACATGTTCACACGAAATTCTCCTGCTCCATCGCCGCTGTCATTATTGCTCCGCTACCTGCTTCCGTGTCTTTAAGCGGTGAACCAGCTCAAATGAACGCTTGAAACC